TCTTAAATTTTTTAAGTAGAAAAATATTTAATATGCAATAAATTTTAGTTTTTTAAGAACTCAATCTTAGTGGCGCAACATCCCAAGAGGGTCAGGGTCTACTGTGTCCATCACAGTGTACGTGACCACTGGGCACTGAAGTGCATGAGCAGATGTCTCGATCAGGTGGTCAGTCTGAAGCGAGAGCCCCAGTGCTTAAGTCCCCAAACCAGCTTAGTACTCATTTATCGCAGTAGGGATGAAAGCTGTGTCGACCTTTTCCAGCCCGGGAATAGAACCCGGATCTGTGGTGTGGAAGCGCGATACGCTACCACTCGACCGCTGGGCCTTATAGAAAATGCCAATAGCATGGAATTTTGTTTTTCATCTCGAGGTTTGGTATTCTCAAAAATAATCATAGGTGAGTGAGTATTAACGTTGCACTCTGTTCAGCTACACAAGGGCTTTTGGCGACGAACCACGTAATTTTGAACCATGGTCAAGTGACGTGGATGACACCTGAGCTGGCACCCCCCTCTCGTAACTACCACACCCCACCAACGGGAGGATCGAACTCATGACAAGGCCAGCCACGATCCGATACCATGACCACTCGGCTACCGCGGCCACGCACACAAAAAAACAATAATAAGAATCATGGATACGAGGCCTTATTTTATGGAAAAATTAATCGCGATGAAAATTAGAGCTTTTTCACACTGCACCTGAAAGTTCTACAGTTCTCACGCTTCGAGTGATTTTAAATTGACATCGTTTTAGAAATAATACGAAGTGAGTGAATGAATAAAAACGTCACACAATTGAGCTACTCGAGAGCCTTTGGCGACGGACCTCGAAGTAGTACGGAGAAAACTGGCAAAGGACCTTATAATCTTAAAGCATGGTCAAGTGATTATTGCGTTGTGCTGTTACACTCTCAAACCCAACATCAATGTGAGAATTTAACACATCAACTTCCCTGCGAGTTTGTTTGAGGAAGGTTGCCATCCTTACCCCCCTGACTTCAGAAATGAGTATTACTCTAGCAAAAAAGTCTCTGTGGTCTCATAGATTGGGTTAAAATTGAAGATGAAAAGAGGTTGTTTCTTTCCATCACCGGCATCCGATCAGGTTGAGTTGCCAAAAGCGGTATGAACAGAATATATTTCTTATGTAATATAAAGGTCATATAGAGTCAGGAATTAATTAGTAATTCACTGCGTGGCTATAGTGGAATGCGAATTAATTCAATAAAAGCAAACTTTATACGTGGACTGTGGTGTCTGTACAAGGAATTCATTACGCAATTTGCTGAAGTCACGTGATTTGTATTGAACGTAGGATAACAAGAGTTAAACTTCAATACAAATTGAGACCTTGAATTAAATTCTGTAACCTTTTCCTCTGCATCTAAATATTAATTTTTTTTAACGAAAACGGTGTAATATATCTCGATGGTTGATATGACTACAAAGAATGTCAAGTTCTCGGATATTTTCACTTATATATGGGCAATCGAAAACTGCTCCAAGCTTATTACTCCCGACGGTATCCCGAGTCCTGTTTTTGAAGTAAATTTCTTGGAAAATACTAAGTGGATCTTAGCAATAAAAGATATCCGTCAGCAGTTTATCTCGTATTATATTCAAAGAGAATACGACGGTGGACCTGACAGCATCGAAGTATTCTTTGAACTTTCATTTCTCTCCGCTGATGGATTCAGTTTAAAAACAGTGCAAAGCCGTGCTCACTTTAAAGAAGGGGAATATTTAGAATATGCTGTGCTCACAGAGTATGTCTTTGAATTACACAGACTGCAATATCTAGTAAATGACACTCTTACACTTATTTGCCGTATGTTTAGAGTAAGAACAGATAGTTTGTCCGAACGAAATATGTGCTTCGCTCGAACTCGTTTAGGTCTAGAGCGAAGGATCTTTATCTGGGATATAAGAAATTTCAGCACTTTTCAACCAGGACGGGATGTGAAGCACCAGATAGATAGTATAGAAGGCACCTTGCCGTTACAACTAGCTTTTCATGTGGACGTTGTTGATGGAATAGAGCATGTTGCATTCAAAGTTTTCAAAAGTCCTTCTGGCAGATTTCTTCGTTTCAATGGCAAAATCTCGATTTTAGACGTAAGTGGACAAAAGTATCTGACCCGTGATTTTATAAATTTTTCAACTGTGACTAATGTAAATTTTATATTGTGTAAGAAAACGTTGCTGATGGATAATAAAAGTACCTTATTATTGGATGATTTATTGTGTATACGAAGCGAGTTTGAGATTGGATACGGTGCTGTTTGTAGTGACATCGAATTTTATGTGAACACGCCTGCATCAGAAAGATACATTTTGAATGGCTGAAATAGGATTACCAGAATTGTGTCTTTTTCATCGAAATAGGATGGTTCGAATCTTGAATTTTACAAAATTTAAAACGGGTAAAGAAATATATTTTTCTGAGCTCTGAAGCTTAAAATTCGATGAGAAAGAAATATCTGCAGGACAACTTACTTTTCCTTGATTTTTAAAAGCATTTTTACTGTAGTTGACAACTTGAATTGGTTGTTTCTTTAAATATTAAAACATGACCAGAATTACATTACGACATTCTACATCAATTTCTTTAAAACTTTAAAATAGGAGACAAATATAATTGTGTAGACACTTTTGTATTGTGTCGTTGACCCACTTCTCAAATCAAAACACGTCGCCAAAATTATGTCATCATTATTATCATTGTGTTTAAGCACGTGTGATAAAGATTTTTCACTGTTGGTTGCTTATCGCAGCATTTGGCGACATTGGTTGACGTTATAATTGTTGACGTTGTTTACTTTAATCTTTTTTACAGTGATTTTTCTAAATGAATGCTGAATATGTAATTTTGAGATTGTTATTTGTTTTACGTTAAAAGGAATTGTTATTCTTGTATCAAGCTTGCTTAAATGTTTTATGATTAATAAAATTAAAGCCAACTATTTCTGTGTTTATTAAATTCGTTTAACTTGTGAAAGCTAAACGGCTCGAGTGTCGGTGACTTTCATGAAACATCAATTTCGAAACGTTTTAAGACTATTTAAAACATACAATCTTTACGTGTACTCTTGAGGCAGGATTTCATATGCGTCCAATAAATTTAGACAGTACGCTGGGAAAGAGGATTTATATAATTTCGTCAAACCTTGATGAGGGCTTTTCAATTTTGAATTAAATCACCAAAACGTGTTATTGCTCATAAGCTTAAAATTCTGAATTGAGATTTTACGAACTTGAAGTGAAATCTTTTTCGAGCGAACTCAAACGTCCTCCCGTTGGTGTGATTTAGTAGTTAGGTCACAGGGGTGCCAGCTCAGGTGTCGCTTACGTCACTTGACCATGGTTCAAAATTACGTGGTCCGTCGCCAAAAGCCCTCGTGTAGCTGAACAGTGCGACGTTGATATTCACTCACTCTTTTCGAGCGAAGTAAATTCTTTGGAAAAAACGGCTTGAAGCTTAGCAGTTTCAGAATAAGGTCGATGTATTTCTATTCTTCGTTTATAGAAATAACTGCAATGAATTTAAATTTTCACCGCTCAATTTTGGATAGTGAAGTAAAATTTGTATTTTTTTGTAGGAGTTTCTACAAAAAAATCTGTGAGTAATGTTTTAAATTGTTTAATTGTTATTTGTTATTTCTATGGGTAATATTTTAAAGTATCAGATCAGTTTGAATCGAGCCGCCTATCCGGTATAGTGGTTAGTGACAATGACCGCGGTGCCGTAGGGGCTGGGTTCGAATCCCGGGTAAGGCATGGATGTTTGTGTTGTAATCCTTCTCTTCTTTGAAATGTATGCTTCACGGTTACTTCTATGTGAATGGCAGTCTATTTTTGGGCATCTGAACTGATACACACAGTCCTCAATCCCATATCTTTAAGAGTCTTTGAAGTGGGACTTGACTTTCGTGGAATTAGTCTGCGATGTAGCATGCAGGCTATTGGCTGCGGCGGTGGAATCCGAGAGAAGGGGCTTAAGGGGATCTTCAAGACGTGGAAGGTTCATACATGGCTGAGAGCTATGTGGGTGCTCTCTCATTGGTTGGAGGTGGAAGTGAGTATAGCCTCTGGCTGGCTGCCCATGGGGATAAGTAAAATTTTAAAAAGTAGAAAGTGTAATACATTACTTCTATGTAAGCCACCGTGTGATACTTATTGGTGCACGGGATTATAAATGTTCTCATAAAAAACGGCATGTGGTCACCCTCCCAAGTACTGACCGCGCCCAATGATGCTTAACTTTCGGCGATCGGACGAGAACAGGTTTTTTCAGCATAGTATG